GGCAGTTTGGGCAAGTTTGGAAGGGCAGCATCAGTCACCGGCACACGCTGCTCAACGTACCACATCCACTCCCGTGTCTGGCTCCGCTACATCAACACTATCACCCACAGAACAAAGTCGCAACGAAGAAGGCCCAGAACCTACCCCAGTAAGATGGATGATATTGCCCGCAGCTGCTCGAAAGGACAGGGCGGATGATGTACCTACTCAGTTGGAAACTGGTAAGGAATTAAGGTGGCTCGTAGGACTAGTGTAGCTCGCATCCCCTCGGCGGTGCCTCAGCGATTGAGGGCCAAGAGTAGGCCGGCGACAAAAAACGAGGAGAGCAATCGGGAGGGTTGCCCGAGTGCGCATTAGACTCTAGTGACACCAATGCTAGGAGGAGGCTGGGGCTGGGGGGTTATCGGCATTCTACACGAACGCCTGCAGCCTAGGCAACAAGTGGAGAGAACTCAGGGTCGAAGCCGTTGGAACAGACTGTATTGTGGTTGCCGAGACATGACTACACGGAGCGATCACAACGGAGAGCTTGCGACTCACCGGGTACTGCGCTTACATATCTGACAGGGAGACGGTAGTGGTGGAGGTGGCATATTGCTCCTTGTGTCGGACACCCTGGATTAGTCTGAGGGCGAACACATATCCACGCTGAATATCCCGGCCTGCTCATGCAACATACAATCTCGGAACTATATATTGACTGTAGTAGGTATCCACAGGGCACCACTCTCAAATGAGGAGGAGGATGGCCAACTGTGCAAATATCTGACCAGGGTAAACAACCACGCGGAGCGGATGGTCATCATAGGAGATTTCAACTCTCCGGAGGTAGATTGGGAAAGCCTGTGGGCCCCTCACTCTGGTTTTGGTAAAAACCTAGTGGGCCGGATGACAGTGCTACCCCTGGTGCAGCACGTTAACCAACCCACTAGATGGCGAGAATGGCAAAGGCCCAGAATGTTGGACCTATTTCTGCTCAAGATGCCGCATGACGTGGAACAGCTTCGAGTTTCTTCACCCTTAGGGCGAAGCGACCATAGAGTACTTAGGTTCCACATCAGAAGAAACCCTCCCCCGGTTCCACACAAGCTCAGGAGGGACTATAGGAAGCTGGATGTACCGGCGCTCAGGCAAGCAGCAGAGGCAATCCAGTGGTCAACAGATGGCATCCTCTCCATGGAGCAGGAGTAGCAGTTATTCAAGATCAGCATCATCCGGCTCACGGACGTTTCCGCTCCCCTAAGAAGGGTCAGAAGAGGGGGCCGGCCGTCTTGATGGGCAAACAAAGTAGTCAGGGCGCTAGCCATAAAGAGAAAGGCATGGACCTGCCTCCGGAGCAGGGGTGGCCATCGATAGCACCTGCATTATCGGGCGGTGAGAGAAAGAGCACTTAGGATTCAGAAACACTAACAAAGGAAATATGAGAGTAGGATTGTTCGCAATGCCAAACAGCGAACAAAAGCCTACTATAACTACGTGCAATCTAAGGCCCACTATCGGGTAGCGGTCGGTAAGGTAGTAAATGCATATGGTGTTAGTGCGGCCACCAGCAAGGAGAAGGCTAAAGTTTTAAAGAGCTTCTTTGAGAAAGTCCACATATCGGACTTGGGAAAGCCGTTGCTTGAACTACGGGGTAGGCTCCCCAAACATCACATGGCTCCGTTTGTCTTAGAGGTAGAGGTAGACACAGTACTGAAACAGCTAGATAAGAACGAGGCCGCGGGCCCGGATGGGCTGCATCCAGCAATCCTACGGCCCATTGCTGACATCATTGCAGGTGCTCTGGCTCAGCTTTTCAACCGATCCCTTGCCTCAGCAACGCCACCAGCCGACTGGACCACGGCAGAAGTGGTGTCAATCCACAGGGATGGGTCAAGGGAGGCTGTATCAAACTATCGTCAAGTAGGCATGTTTTCGGTTGTCCTTAAAACTTTCGAGCGTCTCCTTAGGGAGAGGTTGGTGAGATATTTGGACGACCAACTCCTCATAGCTGGCCAACAACACGGCTTTGTCAACAAAAAGTCGTGTCTCACTAACCTCCTATCATTTCTGAAAGAGGTAACAGGAAGGTTGGACGCAGGGATCTAGTCGAAGTTCGCTACCTCTATTTCAGGAAAGCCTTCGACTAAGTCAACCTCCTGCGCAAACTGGAAGCCCCACGAGTAGACCAGCAGTTAGTGTAGTGACTCGAAGCGTGCACAAGAGGACGTTCCGTGTAAGGGTGGAACAGGAGACTTCGGGGACGGCAGCAGTCTGTAGTGGGGTACCTCAAGGCTTAGTCCTTGGTTACATACTATTTGTGCTGTGTGTTAATGACGTCACCGAGGTCTTCCGGTGCCCCGGGTTCCTATTCGCGAATGACCTCAAAGTAGTAGGGAATTCATCATGGCGGGACTCACATGATGCACTAAACTAAATTCATGGCTGAGCGGACACATGGGGGCTACCTCTCAACGTCAGCAAATGCAGGCACCTACTGCTAAACAGAGGGGCAGCGGAGGTGCTTCAACTGGGCGCTTGGTCGACCGGCGCCACAGAATCTACAGATGTGGTCAGGGATCTAGGGGTGCAGATACACTCATACTTTAAACCCTCAATGCAATGCGCGGCAGCCGCAGCGAACGCCAATAAAGCCTTATTCCAACTCTGCCGAACGGTAATATCGAGGGAGGCTAAAGTACTCTTGCCACTGTATAAGGCATTTGTGCGACCACATCTGGAGTGCTGAGTCCAGGCGTGGCCCCCTCCCCTAGGTAGGGATAAACAACTGCTTGAGGTAGTGCAGAGAAGGTTCACCCGAATGATCAGTGGATCAGTGGGTAAGTCATACAATGAAAGGCTGGCTGCCACGGACTTATTTGCGTTGCACCGCCGTTGCCTGAGAGGTGACTTGACTGAGTCGTCCAAACAGCTCAAACTACTGTCAGTAGCAGACAGATCCTTGTTTACGCCAAATCTCAATCCAACCCTCGGAGAGCATGTTGATAGAACCACGGGCCAACGAAAGTGCCAGGGCACAATTTTTCTCCCACCGCGTGCTAAACACATGGAACAAGCTTCCATCTACAGTAGTAGCAGCAATTAGTGTTCTGCAATTCAAACGGAGACTAAACAACTGCTGGGACGAGGTGTTTCCAGAGTATGACTAGCTCAAGCCTCAGTCACTACCCACATTCCCCTTTTGTAGCCATTGTATATTTCACCATCACTCCTTTACATCTCAATTTCTACAACATCTTCTTTTATCAGCCCCCGGGAAGCTCTCATAGCAGGAGTAACAGTCCGCTGAGGTCCGGCGCCTGTCAAATGATTGAGACTGCTGATTCCCCGAAGGTGATCCTGCTCTTCATCTCTTCCCTGGTAGATACAACATCCAACACACAATTGTGGAACTACCTGGCAGTCATAGCACAGTGGGAACCACCAGCTCACAAGTATAAGAACCTGGACGTCCACTGGCCGAAGCCTAAAGTTCTGTGACCTGACTTGATCTAAAAGTTATAGTTGGATATCGTTATTCAACGCTTAGGATGATGCACGATAACCTAACATTGGTAGGGACTAAAGTTAGATACATATCATGTAGTTCGTAAGTAAGTAAGCATGCGTGAGTTTGGAGAAATGTAAGCGACGCTTAATAGAATGTCAGGTATTCCTTTCGGGAGCCGTCCATGGAGTCCCCATTAGAGTCCTATGTGAGTCCTATCTGAGTCCCATCCGAGTCCTATGGGAGTCCCGAACGAGTCCCATTGAGAGGATTCTCATTGTAGTCCCGTTTTGGTTACAAACGGACTCCAATGGGACTTTCATGAGCAGAGGTAATCCCGAGCTGGAGAGCTCGATGCCTAGGAGTGCGAACCAAGCTAAAAGCAAAGGACCTCGAGTGTACAATGATGGGGGATAAATATTGGTGGGCAAAACTTGAGCGCAGTGACCGTCCAACCACGTCAGTGGCACACTTAGACGTAGGAGTTACGGCTAAATCTAATGGACACATTGTTGAATCAGCAACCACGGAGCTTAGCATGCCGACCGCCGGAAAGAAACAGGGAAACATCAAACACATCCAGTCTCCTTGCCATTAGAACAACGAGCAGTTGATGCGCGCATGAACGCTCATGAGGAGGCCATAGCAAATTTGATCAAGCTAACGAAGAGCTTAAGAGACTGCTGCGTCCGTATGAGGTTCACACTGATACAGCCCTGGGAAGAAACCGGAATGTTGTGATCAGAGGCAGCCCAGAGCCATTTTGTCGAGAAAAGCGCAGCAGCGGGCAAGTGTTTCTACACCAGGTAAGGAACATAATCAAGCGAGTGCTTCGACTACGGGAGTGGCAGGAAGACCAATGAGGTCCTAGCGCTTTACCACCCAGGCCATCCTGTGTCCAGCTACAAAACCCAAGGTACAGGGAGTTATTGCCGGTAGCTTGCGCCAATGTGAGGAAATCGACCGGAGACAAGGTGACCATAGAGCCCGACTACCCCTGCGACCATAACATTACGACCCCACCTAGATGCAGTCAGGAATTTAGCACCAATCATATGTCCGTTCGCGCAACGAGAGTGGAGCACAAAGATCGGGCGAGAAAAATGACCCCAGCGCTCCGGCCTGATCCGAGAGATGAATCTCTAGAGTACGTTGGCCACAAAATGCAGAGGACCCACAGGGAAGCCACACCACTGGACCCGAACTACAAAACTCGGAGGTCACCCGGGAGCAACTTGCAGCTGTAACCCCACAAAGGTACTAGGGGATCAAAGGGCACAGGCTCTCAGTGTTTACTACGCGAACGCCTGTAGCCTAATGAACCAGCGGGCCGTGCTCCGGGCTGATGCAGACCGAACGCACTGCCTCACCATCACGGAGACATGACTCCGGTCTGAATTTTGTATTGTGGGTTTCTGCCCACCAGGATTTCATGCTTGCCACTGCGCTCGTCCAGGAGATAGGTTGGGGGCAGTGCGCTACTCTTGGTGGCGGGCCACTTATCTCAGACGGCCTTGGACAACTTGTGCACAAGGAACATTCAGATTGGCTACTGGACGTGATACCTGAATTGGCGCTCACTCAGCACGTCACCAAACCCACCCGATGGTGGCTGGGTAACTCCCCTGACACCTAAAATCTTGTGTTTACTTGAAATAGAAATGACATTGGGAACACTAGTATAGCTGCACCGCTAGGCAGAAGTGACTAGACTAGTATCCGGTGCCAGTACGCTGTGCCATTCCCTCCTCTTAAGTGAAATTGCGTCGACGTTACGGATGCATGAATCCTGAATGTCTCCCGACTGCCGCTCAGACTGTGGTCTGGTGAGAGGCGAACCATGGGATTGTAGAGTCGTGAAACTTAATCAGTGATAACCTGCTGAATCTCGTCAATAGATGAGCACCCCTGTGTCCCATTGGGTTAAGGACCACACCACCTTGGTGGTCCAACCGATTGAAAAAAGCCCTGATTAGAAAGCGGGCCACATGATAGCCACTGTGTAAAACAGGTGGGCATCTAAGGCACTTTCAGTACTTACAACAGCAGAAGTCTTTCGACTGTAACCTCCTGAATGCCCTTGAACTTTCTCAGGCCAAAAAGGCAAATAGCTCCATCAAGACTTACTATGTTTACGTCAAGTCTAAGTCGACTATAAGGGAAGCAGTTGGCTGTATTAAACAGAAGAACGACTCCCCAGCCACAACAAAATCCCAATAGGCCTGTTACGGCGGCTGAAACACCGTGAAGGATGATGAAAACAACATTTTGACGATGGATAGA